CTCTCTCTCTCTCTCTCTCTCTCTCTCTCTCTCTCTCTCTCTCCCTCTCTCTCTCTTCTTTCACAAGAATGTCAACTTTCCCTGGCTGAGAGTTTTTGGCAGTTCAAATCTCACCAGGCTCAAGGTTCACTCAGCCTTCCATCCTTACGAGGTGAGTAAAAAGAGGACCCAGATTGTTGGAGGCAACAGGCTGACTCTGTAAACTGTACTTCCATCAATTCTGTCTAGATGAAAATAACCCAATAAAACATGAAAAATTTGAAGATATCTGTTCCAAGGATATACTCTAATTTATGATGAACAACGAACCTGGCTTAATACTAAGATGCCATTTATACAGGCTTTATAGATGTTATTCAAAAGACAATGTTCTTTCTTTTCTGGAGCATAATTATGTTTGGGTAGAAACTTGCCTGTTCCATTAGCAACTGACATCCAGTATGAACTCCTGGAACCTCCCATCCTCTTTTATAATTTTGGATTATAGCTACAATGAGCTATGTGTAGTTCAAAATTGCCTTATATTAGGTATATGTCTACTGATCAATCTTTTTGAATTTGCACAGAAAATGAATATAAACCTCTTGTGTCTTTTTCTCTCTCTTTTCCAATTTAATTTAGCCTGTGTGGATACCCTCCTTTCTATGAAGAAACTGAGTCAAAATTGTTTGAGAAGATCAGAGAAGGATACTACGAATTTGACTCTCCATTTTGGGATGATATCTCTGAATCAGGTATTTTTAAGCCTGGGGAAAAAAATCTGCTATAATTGTGCCTAAAGATGCGTATGCACCGTAATTAGGCAACTATTGAATAGTCAAGAGCTTTTTTAAAGTATGTGTTTAATGATTTGGGGAAACTGCTCTGATTCCTGGAACTGCTCTGCCATGGTTTTGATAGATGTGCCTGCGCGTGGCTAAGCAGGGGACAAAAGCTGTTGCAAGCATGTGCAAGATGTTCTGTGATGCTGTATCCCATTGAAGCATTTGAAGGTGCAGATGTTCTTTCAGAGCCTGCAGCACAGTTAATCATGTTGATTATTATCAGATGTCTCCTTGTTTCTACTAGATTTTGCTTGAATAATTGAAAACAAATTGATACCATGAATCTTAAGTATGCCCTCTTTTTAGAAGAAACAATTTGGTAAAGAAGATTCTAATAATATACACATGTTTTGGAACTTATTGCCATCTTTTTCTATTGGCTAGAGGTGCATGTCATCAGTTTGATCCCTATTACTCAAACCTAATGCTCTGGCAGATTAGTTTTGGCTTCTGGCTTTTGTGCTAAAGCCTCTTTCTCTGTTTCCATCTCTTTTTATTCCTTTTAAACAGCCAAAGATTTCATTTCTCATTTACTCGAGAAGGATCCAAATAAGAGATTTACCTGTGAGAAAGCCCTCAGGCATCCCTGGTGAGATGATTGCTATTGCAATTTTTTTATTTAAAAAAGTGCAATTCTGTGATACAGTGAGAAAGTTTGTAATTATATTCACATGGAATTAGCAGTGGATCATAAAATATAATTGACTTCTCTGATATTTTTGTTTGAATTAATTAGTATGGAGGACAATGTGCACAGGATGCTATTATGTGCTTTAGACTTTAGGTGTCTTAGACTTCAGAAGAGCTGATTTCAGCAAACTTAATGAGAGCTCTGGAAGGATACCATGGATGAAAATCTTAAAGGGCAAAATAACTCAAGAAGCTATGGGAACTCTAAAAAAATGTTATTATAAAAGCCCAATCCAGCACAATATCATGGGAAAAAACAATTAAGAAATCTAAGCAGAAACCACATGGTTGCATAATGAACTAAGGCTTGCAAGAAATAAATAAAGTTTTTTCAACATGTAAAAAACAAGGAAAAGGTCAAGGAAACAATCCAATAATGGGAGAAGATAACAAAAGAGTGATGGGCAGCAGGAAGAAAGCAGGGAGAAAGAACTACTTAATTGATTTTTTTGCAACTGTCTTCACCAAAGGGAAAAAAATAGCCCACCTACCAAAAACAGAACCATAAAAAACACACTAAGAATTCAAATTAAATTAGGTAAGAAAATGGTAATACAATGCCTGTTCATCCTAGACAAATTCAAATCACTAGGACCAGATAATTTACACCCCAGAGTTCTGAAGGAACTGGCAGACATGATCTTGGAACCAAAATCCTGAAGCAATGGAGAACTACCAGAGAAATGGAAAAGAGCTAACGTGGTTCCTATCTTCAAAGGGGGGTGGGGGTGGATCCAGGAAACCATGGATCAATCAGCCTGACAACTTGGGAAGATCCTGGAAAAGATAATCAAGCAACATCTAGAAGTCATAACCAGAAGCCAACATGGATTTGTCAAACAGAGAACATGCCAAACAAATCTTACTGTATCCTTTGACAAAGTAATTAAATTAGTGGAGCAGAAAAATGCCATGGACAAAGTATACTTAGATTTCAATAAGGTATTTGACAAAGTAGATCATAGCATACTAATTCTTGGTAAATTAGAAAAATGTCAGATAGACAGCATCACTATCAGATGGATTTATAACAGGCTGATAAACTGCACTCCACATGTCATCCTCAATGGAACTACATTTACACGGAGGGAAGTATGTAGTGGCATATCCCAAGGTTCTGACTTAGCCACAGGACTCTTCAAAATCCTCAATAATGATTTATATTAGGGGACAGAAGGAGAACTCATCAAATTTCAGACAACACCAAGTTGGCAGAAATAGCTAACACACCAGAAGACAGGCTCAAGATCCAAAAGGATCTTGACAGACTTGAACATTGGGTTCTAGCTAACAAAATGAAATTCAATGGTGAAAAAAAATGGTTTTACACTTAAGCAAGAAAAATCAAATGCACAGGTATAGAATATCTGGGTCAACAGCAGTAACTGTTAAAGGGATCTAGGAATCCTACTGGACAATCACTTAAATATGAGACAGAAGTGTGCTGCAGCCACCAAAAAAGCCAGTGCAATCCTAGACTGCATTAATAGAGGGATAGAATCAAGATGACATGAAGTGTTAATACCCCTTTATAATCTTAGAATCTTGGCTTAAACTAATCAAAGAGAGAAGCAATCTGGAATTAAGGAGAAACTTCCTAATAGTGAGGACAATTAACCAGTGGACCAGAAATTATGGGTGCTCCATCACTGGAGGTTTTTAAGAAGAGGCTAGACAGACACTTGTCTGAAGTGGTATAGGTTGCCCTGTTTAAACAGGTGGCTGGACTAGAAGACCTTCAATGTCCCTTCCAGCTAGCTCTATTCTATTCTATTAAACAGTTCTGGAAGAGTCAGCCTATACAAAATCAAAAACCTTGGGGGGAAAACCTTGCATCTGGCATAGTAACCGTCCTTTGAACTGTGCAAAGCTTCAAAGGGATAATCACTTTAGCAATGCTTTGAATGATGCAGTTTTACAAAGTAGAACAGTTTACTATAACATCAAAATACCCACTTATTTTACTTCGCCTTACACTTGAGCTTTCCCTATCTTCCAATAGTGCATGCAAAAATCTCTGCTGATTCCGGGAAATGCAGGTGAAGGCTTCAAGGTGATACAATTCACCTTATTAAGTACAATACATCTCTGCAAAATTATGTTGCCTATGCTAAAGTACCTTTTTGAGACAAACCCAAACCATTCGCACATAGAAAGATGTCTAGCTAGAAGTTACAAGAATGTAATATGTATCACTCACAAACACCATCTGTCTACATGCCTGTTCTCCTCTTACTTCATCTGCAGGATTGATGGAAACACAGCTCTCTACTGTGACATCTATCCATCTGTCAGTGTACAGATCCAAAAAAACTTTGCAAAAAGCAGGTGGAAGGTAAGTAACTTGATGTTGTTGTCCTGACATTTTATGCACTGGTGCTCTTCTATCATGGAGCATGGAGATAAAATTTCCATTAGACCTCTCATTCCAAAAGTCTCATAAAATAATATTGCTCAGATAACTGAGCATTTAATATAATTTTGGGTGTCTCATAAAATAATATTGCTCAGATAACTGAGCATTTAATATAATTTTGGGTGTGTCATATGGTTCAAAGTATAAAATGAATTTCCTTAGTGGATACGGAAATATTTGGCAATTTGTTATATAAAGGGTTGTATGGAGGGTTGTATAAGGGGTTGTATAAGGGGTTGTTATGTAAAAGATTAAATAAAGGATGGGGACACAATGGCTCAGTGGTTACAGATGCTCAGCTTCTCAGCTGGAAAGCTGCCAAGCCAAGTTCAAGGCCCAAGCACTGCGCAATAGGGTGAGCTCCTGTTCTTTGCTCCAGCTCCTACTCAACTAGCTGTTCAAAATCATGCAAATGTGAGTAAATTAATAGGTATCACTTTGGTGGGAAGATAACTCTGTGCACTTTTGCCATGTGGTCAGACAATGCTGGCTTCTTCTGCCAAGAAATAAAGATTGGCACCGCCTCCTAGAGTTGGACATGACCTGACCTTTACCTTTTATATAAAGGGTAACAAATAGAAAAGGCTCTTTCAATTTCAAAAGATCCATCTCTCAAATTATGACATCTTAATTGCAAAATTTAGACTGCAGAAATAGGTGGGTGGGAGACCATTGGGTGCTTTTCTCCTTTTTAAGGTTAGTTTTTGGGGGAGAGAGTTCTTATTACGTATTATTTCTTTAATGTATTGTGACTTACCCAGAGTCATTTGGATTTGAGGATTGATAGAGATAAGAGATATATCGTATTTTTCAGAGTATAAGACACACCTTTTTCCCTTATAAAAGAGGGTGAAAATCAGGGTGCATCTTATACATCGAATACAGCATTTTTGGCCTCTCGAAACCCTGCCCCCTTTGCAAAATTGGCCATGCATAGCCTTTAGGAGGCTTCCAGAGTGCTCCTGGGGGCTGGACAGGGCAAAAATGACAAACAATTGGCTGGTTTTGCTCATTTTTGCCCCCCTCCCCCACTGCCCAGGAACACTCTATAAGCCTCCTAAAGGCTATGCATGCTCTTTTTTGACAAAAATGGGCCTGTTTTCACAAAAAACAGGCTGTTTTTGAGAGGTTTGCAGAGTGCAAAAACTTTTTTTAAAATTTGCCTCTTCAAAATCTTGGTGCGTCTTATACTCCAAAAAATAAGGTAAGAAAGTTTTAGAAGCACTTACTAGGAAGTAAGTTGAACATAGGATCATTTGATCTCAGACAAGCTTGCATAAAATTGTATTCCAAGCATTTTTGTAAATGTTTGTTTGCAGGGGCAGACAAAAATATTTTGTAACTGACTTACAATTTTGTAAAAAAATATTTTAATTGCCAGGGTATCAGGGACCATTTTGATGTAATGATGACATCAACAGATCCCATAGAGTACTTTTAAGACCATTTTTTCATCTTGAGAATAGTGGAAAATCTGTTTTAGCTGCGCCATGCCAGATTCAAATTCCATGTCAAATTCCTGTTAAGACACTATTCCACAAGAGGTGTAACAAGAATAAAATATAGATCTGAATTACATTGGCCAAATTTCAAAAGTCTCGAAAGGGTCAGACAAAAATAAGTATAAAGCTGCTTATAGTTTGTGTTCCATGGTTTGTCTACTTTTGTTTTATTGTACACCATTCTCAAGCATTCATACAATATTTATATAAATATAGTAACAGCTAAGTTTCCTTGTTACTTTTTACCTATAGTAAATGGAGTACTAGTGAGATAGCAATAGCAATAGCAGTTAGACTTATATACCGCTTCATAGGGCTTTCAGCCCTCTCTAAGTGGTTTACAGAGTCGGCATATTGCCCCCACAATCTGGGTTCTCATTTTACCCACCTCAGAAGGATGGAAGGCTGAGATTTGAACCGCCGAACTGCAGAACTAGTAGTCAGCTGAAGTGGCTGCAGTACTGCACCCTACCCACTGCGCCACCTCAGCTCTTCACAAGAACTTGAGGTCTGTTTCCAGGTAAATCTCCCTAGGTAAATTTTCAGCAGCAGCTTATGAACATAGCATTCTTTATTCTGGTTTTGTAGAGAAATTATGGTATATAATTCTCATAAATCTGGTCATCTTCTCCTTTACTAGCAAGCCTTCAATGCTGCAGCTGTGGTCCATCATATGAAGAAACTACACATGAATGGTCATCATGCAGAGGACAATGTCAAAAGCCAAGTGCAAGTACAAATTACATCAACGCCTAATACATCATCCATTACTTATAAGGAACAATCAAGTCAAGAAACCAAAAATTTGATCCCTGTAATATCCTATCAGAATACTTCAGATCTTCATGGCCTACATGCCAAGAAGACAGAAAGCAAATATTTAGATAACCCGGGGAGCACATCAGTCCATATGACTTCTGTAACTACAACAGACAGCCAGAGCCATCCAAGCAGACCTTCAGTTAGCTGTACTCCAGAAGGTGGGACGCGAGACAAAGTGAAGGCGACTTTTTGCTCAGAAGCAGTACTCATAAAAAGAGATGCCAAGACACAGTAAGTGTCCTTTGGGATGGTCAAACTAAGTTTCGAATTGCCAAGTAGAGATTTCAGTAGCTTTCCCAATCTGCTATTTCCAATTGGAGGCTTCACTATCTAGATAGTGTAGTAATTGGGGTATCAGCGGATTTGAACATTTGGTGAACAATTGAGAAAGTTGGTGTAAGTAATGTGGCATCAGGAAAGGTGGAGATAAAAGGCAAAAATCCCTCTTTGAGGAAGATGGGAAATAAATAAATAAATAAATAAATAAATAAATAAATAAATAAATAAATAAATAAATAAATAAATAAATAAATAAATAAATAAGGATTAGGGAACTAGCAATTTCTATTTCACTTATTTTGAAATGCGTAAATTTCCTTTATTCTACTTGTTCAAAAAAGGGAACTTATGATATAACAATAAGAGAAACAACTGTTGTAGTAAATAAATGAATAATAATAATCTTGTATAACAATACAATATTTAATAATGAAAAATAAGGAACATCATTATCGTCCAATTATTTTTAGAATGAAAATCTCTGGTCATTAAATAGTAGCTAGAGTTTATGGAAGGTAACTTATCAATTGAATCTGAAAGCATAGTATAAAATGAACTATGCGGATTGGCATATCTCATAACCATAAAAAGCTCTATGATTGCATTGATCAATTCAATGACAGTTGTATTATGATTTTATCTGTCTACATGAAAAGGTCAGGTGGAAGAAGCATGGTCTGAATATACATTGTCATCTTCCTCCATAATGTGAAACCTTTGCAGTGCACATATAGTATCACTGCATGCATAGTGGAAGAACATTCAGAATAGAAAGTCAGATAACTCCACTTGTACTGCATTAATCCTTTTGAATTCCACTGAGCAGAACAGATATGCATCATATGAAGTAGATGGCAGTTTACATCATCTTTCCAAGCCTTTGTACAATATACAGATATATATGTGTGTGTGTGTGTGTGTGTGTGTGTGTGTGTGTGTGTGTGTGTGTATATATATATATATATATATGTATGTATGTATGTATGTATGTATGTATGTATGTATGTATGTATAGTGTGTGTGTGTGTGTATGTAATGCATCTTACACTAATTGCAAACAACAGTTTTTGCTTTGTTTTCCTTTCAATTTTCTCTTTCTCTTTCAAACTCAGTCACTTCAACTCAGAAGTCCTTGTTCCAGTAAAAGCCACTAATCACACCTATTTTGGCAGTGGTCAAACTGGTGTTTGCTTGGTAATGTGATTGGAAAAAAACCTACTATATGTACAAAACATATACCTTTACAGGTATGTATATGTGTACAATTCATGTTCACTTTTCTAGCAAAGAATAGTGAAGCATTTAAATATTGCCACGATTTCATGATCCCCCAATTATGTCAGCAGTTTTGTTCATAGAAAGGTGTGTACCCCAGCCTTCACTATGGAGATGCCAGGACTACTTTGCCCAAGCTGGCCAAGTAGGGAGGCACAAAAAAACAAACTTCAATGAGCAGCTTGTTTTACAGATACCCTGAGACCAATGTGGTGGGTTTCTACCAATTCGGCCTGGTTCGGCCAAACTGGTAGTTGCTTGGCAACCTGGGCCGCTGGAACCAGCAATGACCCAAGCCTGCCACACCCCCAAATCAGTTTTCTTGGCAGAACCATAGGTGCCATCTTGTTTTTTGTTTCTGCACATGCACAGTGCAATTTTAGTTGTTATGCATATGCACACGAACAGCACACCCCTGAGCAAACCAGCAGTAATCTCTGCTGGAACCCACCACTGCCTGAGACCATGTATCTTTTTGCAGAAATGTGTACTGTATATATTTCTTCCAAGCTGAGTTCTTTATTGTTTCCACAACTATAGACAGAATCTTACCAGACTAAACACTACTGTCTGCATTACTGTTGTATACTCTGAGAAATATTAGGGAGGAGTAGTCTTCACCCTCTTTCTCTCACACAAAATATCTGGACTGAATTGTCTCTTTTTTCTCTGGAATACACCCCTTGCCTTCTTGAAATCCAGCTTGCTACATTCCATTACTGACCATAAAATTATCTAGGATATGCCTTGTTCCAGACAGCTACCGTGAACTAACAAATTGTTAAATTTTCCATTATATGATTATATTTTATATTATATATTGTTTTCATCACATAGTTTATAGTCTCAATATTAAGACTGTTTATATATAGATTTACTATTTTAATATATTGTAATAGTAACACTAGATTTTAGATATCTTTTATAGATTTCACTGAAACAATAGTAATTTTTATTGATGTTATTGTATGCTCTTCTATAACCCAATAAAATAAATACAGGTTAAAAAAACTGATTTTATGAGACTTTATAGTTATCATTTTAATAACAGTATAAATAAGTATAGCAATTCTTATAATTAATTTAGTTTTTATAAGAAAATGAAAACAGACAGAAAACAATTTTCGGTTGGAAATTATTATATTGTGCATAAAACTATATAGTAGTTTTTGCCAAGTTACTTTCTTCACCACAACTAGGTAAGAACAATAAATCTCAACAAATCTTTTTTTTTTCAAAAGAAACCAAGATTTCCTGGAAAACTTTTTTTCCAATAAAATGCAGATCACATGATTTCTATTTTTCTCCTCTCTTTTCAGAAGGGCTGCTTGATATTCCTATTGAAAACTGACCATCAAATATCAACCAAGCAGAAAGGGAAGGCCTGTCTTGAACAATGCCATGGAGGACTGTGTTCCTAGATGCCCACAGCAGATACTTTCTATAAAGCACATCCATAGAACTGAAGAGTTCATATGGTTCAACTATCTTGAAATATTAGAGGGTTGTTTCATATAAACTGGGAAACAATTCTTAAAAGAAAGGTTCTGTAATCAGTGGGTAAACATGATCAAACTCTTTATCGGGAAGGTGGGGATTCATGTTTGTACATCTGTGCTTGTTCAGTAGACTAAAGAGCAGTTGCAAGGGGTACAGTGTTGTTTTTGTGTTGAGTCCATTAGACCAGTTGGTTGAAGCAGAAAATATCCCATGCTGGCTTGCTTGTGGCCCTTTAATTCATGATACGGAAGCAATTTGCTAAGAATGCTTGTTGGCACTGCTATTTCTTCCAGCACTGTTTGCATGAGTTGATTCCACAGGAAGGAAGGGGGCACAGTCTCTACTTCATTCATTAATTTTTGCTTGTCAGTTCTGGAATTGCACATGTAATATACATTGTTCAATAAAGTTTGTCGGTTCTTAAATGCCTGACAGTTATTTATTGATGGACTAATGTAGATCACCAATCTCTCAGTCTCAGATTTGTTTCTGGCCGTACAAGTAGTTCCCCAACTTACACAATGGAGCCCAGAATTTCTGTTGTTAAGTGAGTCATTTGTTAAGCAAGTTTTGTCCATTTTATGACCTTTCTTGCCCCAGATGTTAAGTGAATCACTGCAGTTAGTACATTTAGTAACCCGGTTGTTAAGTAAATCTGGCTTCCCCATTGACTTTGCATTTCAGAAGGTCCCACAAGGAGATGACATGATACCAGATCACTGCAATGGTCATAAACATGAACCAGTTGCCAAGTATTTAAATTTTGATCACGTGACCATGGGACTGCTGCAACGGTCGTAACTGTGAAAAACGGTCATAAATCATTGTTTTTGTGCCATTGTAAGTTTGAACGGTCACTAAATGAACTGTGGTTTATCTGCAAAAAGCTGTTTTGTATTTGTAAAAAGAATTAGTGGTGGATAAAAAGATAAAAAAGTCTTATAATGGGCTATGAAATCTAAGAAACAGACACCATTGTTCATTTATATTGCTTTCTTAATCTTGCTTAAATCCAGATTCTGCTTGGATAGAACTCATGCAAAAGTACATCTTCCAATTTTTTTTTTAAAAAAAATGTTGCTATCAGCAACATTTGAATTCAAGAGATTAATTTTAAATATAAAGGTGTCTTGGAATGCTAGAGCAAATAAATTAGTACACGCATTTCTGGGTTTTCCCCCCCTAAAGCTTAACCTATAGCAATAGCAATATTTCAAAGCTAGCTTTTTAAAATAAAAGATGGAAATGTTTGGGGTTTTTTTGCACATATGAAGAAAGCAATCTTGATAAATTAGGAAGAGGAAAGGATTCATCAGGAAAGGAGAAGAAACTGTTTTAATCTGTGCAACTGGAATAATATGCAACTCGTTGACTGATATGATCACGAATTGATTCCACTTTTTTTTCCAGGCCTTCCAGCTTGGCTGACTTGAGGATGAAGGCACTGTTACTCTCCTGTAGTTCTGTTTCTAAAGCTGAGGAATGAAACAGAAATAAGTTAGATGCAAATAAACTACTTTCCCTCTTTAATTCATTACAACTCTATATAGGTGATCATTCAGCCGGTTCTGTTTTTCTATAATATCTTTTAACATGTATTTTTTCATGCAATATCTGTTCAATAAGACACCTCATATGCAAAAACTATGGGCTGCACATGTTTGCCCCTCCCTCTTAATCTTTGTAGATCCGTTCCACCACCTCAGTTCCTAACTATCCTGTATTGAATGTTAAATGAGAACAATTCTACTGATATTGGTTTGAAAGATGGTAAAATTCTATGAATAGGATACCCTGCTTAGCTTTCTGATTTTGCTGAATTTTGCTCAAGCAAATATCAGTAGAATTGGTCAAACTAAATTAAGCAAAAGAAGAACATCACAGAACAGAATATTTGCAACTCAGGGTTGAACTGTGGGATCCCTGGGCTTCGCTGAGCTTGGTTGTTTTCTTGTAGACATTTCATTACCAAACTAGGTAATGCCATCAGTACAAGAAAGGATTAGGGTTTGCTCTCTTTTTATATATTATTGGCTTGCCTTGTCAATGTTCATGGGAGTGTTCTTGGTGGTTCCTTGATTAGGCTGTTATTTATGGTTAGCTTATTTGTCTGAGTCGGTAGTTCCTTGATTGGGATATTGTTTACTTCCTGATTGCTGGTCTAGTATTAATCTTGCCATTAACATCTAGATAAACTCAGATTACTCAACCAATTTATTATAAGTATTTATATAGTAAATCCTCTACATAGCATTATCTGTTGTTTTATGAAGCAAAGTAATTATCCCTAGCACTATTTCCATCTAGATACCATATTTTTCTTGCCCATAACAATAGCTATAAAGAAATTCATTCAGCTTCCCTAAATGATTGGCAGAACATGACCCAACATTAAGGAACTGGTGTCTGTCACATAGCATCCAAAACCAGTTTTGCCTTTTGTCTGAAAAACTCTCATCTCCTTCTGGTAGGACCAAATGAATGTGGACATTGACGTCAGCCAGCACTGGTTAATGTATTCTCATCATGTTTTGCATGAGAAATTGTCTGGTGGCCTATTTTGTAATATCAACATTCCTCACTGCATTCAACCAACTCTGAGCAATAGTAACTGCTTCTCATCAGCCAGCTGCTAAATCTTTGGTTCTGAAAGGCACCTTCAATGAAAGACATTCATTAGAGGTACAGCTTTATCAATGGAAATAGTAGTGCTTCTTTTAAAAAATAATATCTCTGGCTTTGAGCCACTTAGTTATTCATACTACACCTGCCACAGGAGTCAGAGAATTTTGTCTACACCCTGGCTGCTTCCCAAAACATATTGAGCAAAGTTATTAGAACTGAAAGGTTTAAACTGAAGTATCCAAATAGAACGTCAAAAGACTGACTTGGCAAGCCATTATTATGGAACAAATCTGTGATTGGCGTATAACACAGTATTTATATTCTTTCTGAATGTCCATCCCATTAAAAGGGCAAGCTGAAATGCCTCACAGGATCACTATAAAAGCTTTTCATCTCTGTCTCTCTATAAAATCCTTACAGTAGCCTAGGAATGATGTATCCAGATTTAAATGTGAAAAGTACATACATGTTTAGCATATACTTGGTATGAAATTGATTACATGAAATTATTATGCATGAAATTCTGCAATATTAAATATGATATTAATAAATTTCAATTGTTAATTTATCAACCTTGATATTATTTTAAAAATCTGCAATCCTGTATGGAATGCCAAGGCAATGAAGATAAGAATTGTGAGGTTATTTCTGATTTGGAGAGTTGCCATGCAGGTAATCCTTACCAGACATTTTGGCCATCATATTCAATGCTTCATTCAACAATGTGTTGGCCTCTGTATGGGCACTTTGAATTCTGTCACCTTGGATGCCTAAATTTGACCCTTGTCCCATTCGCCTCTGCAGGTCCATGTATTTGCCATTCAATTGTTCAAATACCTGGGGTGGGGGAGGGGAGAGGAAAATGAGAACTAGTCAAACTTCCAATGGATATGTTGAGTAGATAACATCAGAATTCCCAACTCCAAATCTTCAAACCTGACACCATATGATGTTAGATAGCATTCTACTTAACAGTGTTCCATTTATAAGTGTGTCAGATTATTAAACACTGCTTTTCCCTTTTGCCTATTCCTTTTTTTCTTCAAAAAGTGGCAATTCTTTTTCACAATAGTTTTCTGATTTCTCCTGGCTTCACAGAACACGCCTTCTTTTCACTGTGATATTTTCCAGTTTGTCCACTTTGAAGAGTTTTCTTTTCCCCTTATATTCCCAAGCCAAATTCATGCCTCTTTTATATAAAGATGACAACTACATTGAACAAGTTTTGTTTGTTCTTCAATAATCAATTGTTTTATTGAATATAATCAAACAATGTTTGATAAGGCAAATACCCTTGTCATTAACCATTTTTATTTGCAAATAATTTATCTGGGACCTAGGATATTCTCTGGGTACGACTGGAAATAATGAGAAGCCAAAGACTCTTAATTTCCCTTGCTACGTATTATCTTTCCTTCTTTTGTAATTAAAATAATTTCAGGTAGGACATGGAATCTAGCAAGCAGAAAAGAAGAAGACTTGGTGGCACATTGTTATCCAAGGGTGTCATGTTAGAGAATCACGTTAAATTATAATTGTAATGAACAAATTCCGTTTGTTCTTCAATATCAATATTGAATATCTTCAATATTCTTGTTTAAGCCTATAATTAAACAAATCTTGGCAAGGCAGATTGTCATTGTACTGAAGAACAAATAAAATGAAGTGTGAGACAGATAGTAAGAAGTAATTTCAGAGTTTGTCCTTGGCTGAATGGGTACGACATGATTGGTCATGTGACTCTGTGATGGCCATTTTCTGGGAGTGTACAGAGTATGTTCTAAAAAATGCAAAAGGGACTATTGGCCTAAGAAGTTTGGGGACTTTTGTATTAGAGTGAATAGCCAATGTCATTGACAAGTCTCATGGCTAAACTGAGACAGGAGATCAGAACATTTAGCAAGTATTTTTCCCAAAGGCTGGCTGAGCAATACTGTAGCTTAAAGCATGCAACCCACTAAAGTAATTCCCTATTTCTATACCTGCTGAGTGGTTTTTGCTTGCGCATGGGCTTCTGTTGCTTGTTGCTGGGCATCTGCAGCCAATAACTGATTCTGGCTTGCCTTGTGCTGTAACTGGACAAGCGTCTCAGTGAAACTATCCAGTTGATTAGTGATGTCCCGCACATTCTCCTGAGCTGGAGTAAGGATAGTCTGGATCTGAACATTCCAAAAATGAAACTTTTTTAGAAATTTTATAAGAATCCCTGAAAAAAAATACTGGGTACATAAACAAGGAATATTCTATTAAGGTAATAAAGTAATCAGCTATGGGGACCACTATTCTAGGAAACAATGGAGGTTTATCAATATGAAAGGAGAGCAGGCTGGTTTAGAGTGAACTTAGATGTTCAATGTCAGAATCTAAGCACAAATCACTTACTTCTTCAAGGCGATTTTGAATACTTTGGAGGGGGAAAGCAGAGTCCTGAATGGTAAGTTCAGCTTCTTGAAGTGCTATTTCTCCTTGTTTCAATATCTGCAGCACATCATCCACATTGCCCTCAATAGTACTGGCCTGGTTCCTAAGAAAATATTATGGTAAAGAAATAAAAAAGTGTTATTTTCTTTTCAAAAAGATGTCATTTATAAGTAATATATAATGATGACCTAGTGAACAGAATATGAACACATGCAATAAAAAAGCAGCATAACATTACAGCTTCCAAAAAAGGAGAGATAAAAGTTTTAGGACCATTAAAATAGTATTAATATATAATTTTTGCAATCTACAAAACCTAGGCAGCAGTCAGGAAAAGATGTAATCTGAAAGTAAGATTTTCCACTAAGAAAGGCTGGGTGCCAAAGAATTGAGGCCTTTGAACTATGGTGAACTATGAATTGGCTGGATGGAGTCACTGAAGCAGTAGGTGTGAGCTTAAATGGATTCCTGAGGATGGTAGAGGACAGGAAGGCCTGGAGGAACATTGTCCATGGGGTCATGATGAGTCAGACATGACTTCGCAACTAACAACAACATACTATATGTTTCAATTTAATTAATATAATACATAATCAAGAAGGATAAATGATCCAGTTAAAGGAACTTATGGGTTTCATATTAAACTACCGCCCGAAATACACAGGAACAATTACTTAATGAAAGTTCCAGAAGACATTTTTTGTACATAGGATTTCCCCAAATTTTAAAATTATATACTTTTTCAAAAAGAACTTCTAAATGATACTATAAATAAGCTTATGTCAAATATCACTTTAACAATGAATTTATTTTCCTCTTCTCCAAAGCTATCAAACTCTTGGTCCCAAATTGGAGAATGAAATACTATGTGTACTAATTTAATCTCCTGAATGGAAAGCAAAATATAAATTTAACTGAAAAAGAAATGAATATTACCTGGCTTCTTCAGCTTCCTGCTGAAGCTGTTTGGCCTTAGCTATGTCTCCAGCAGTTTGGGCAATGATACTATCAGGACATTGCAGCTTAGCAATCAAATTCTGAATCTCAGTGATTTTCCTGAGAATTGTGCCAGTGTCAATTGGAAGATTAAGGGACAGGATGTAATTGCTCACTTGCTGAATCGTGGTAGCATCAGCATCTGGATCTGGAAAAAAATACAGTAAGCAATCTAACCAAGATGAACTGCATCTCTAATTCAATCAATAAAATATTTGTGATAAGCCTAGATCCCCACGGCATGGATATTTAAATACATGGTAGATCGACCAGCCTTTGCAGTGCCATAAATAAGCTTTTAGGTTATAAAGAAAATTAGGGTTTTAAAGCAAGCCAAATAAAACAAATATTATATCATGAGGAATAGTGAGGTGAGCAGCTGATCCAATTAAACAAAACAAACTTTGCTAGACACAAATATTGCAAAAGCATGTCAAAATACAAGTAGCAAAGGACTTCCAAAATCCAATTAGTGTGAAATATCTATTAACATCAGCTGGAAAGAAAACACTTATCAATATATCAACAAAGGTTCAGTAGATTTGTAAAAAATGAAGGCTATGGTTTTTATATAGATGATGCTTTGATTATGTACATGTGTACAATTTTCTGAATTAAAAGAAAAAAAACATTACCACACCAAATGTACCGCTAACATATGGAACCTTGAGAGCACATATAAATTATATTTTCTCATTGTCCAGGACAGATAATCTCACCTGCTATGTACAGAAATGTGGTGACTTAGCAGAGAAAGAGTTTCAATAGAGGGTATGAGCTGAAAGACATATTACAAGTATACTTTCAAGAAAATGGCAGGCCAGATTTTGTTGAATGCTTTGAAGATGAGGAGTGGCTGCAGAAAATTCTCATGTTTTTCATCACATAAACCAGTTGAACAATACTATACAGGGCAGTGGTGGGTTTGTACTGGTTTTACTACTGGATCGCTTGTGCGTGCATGCTCTGTCGTGCGCGTGACACTTCTGTGCATGCACAGAAGTGTCCGGGCAGGTGGGCGAAGCCTCTTGCCGCCACCATTACCAGTTTGGCTGAACCGGGAACATCCAACCTCTAATACAGGGCACTGGAGAAAATGTTTTGAGTTCAAGTTTTGCATTTTTCAACAAGCCTGCCAGATGAAACCAGAATGTTAGAATACTGTTATTAATACAACCAACACCAACCTGATATGGTAAAAAGATATAATAACACTCAAGTTTTATAAATAATTCCAGCATGACACATAGACATTTCTATTAAATCTTTACTCACAATATGATTTGCCTTGACTCTAAAGAGAGCTCCCACATATTTTAAGTATAATATGGAATGAAATCCACCTCATAACCTTTTGGATAATATTCTGTAAGTTTCAATTATTATGTAAAAATAATTCTATTTTAATTCTGTCAAATATAGAAAAGAAAAAATTGATAGCATATATTAGTGCTTAAAAAATTGGGGTCAGAGGCATTGTGATTCACCACTGTTTGCTAGAGTGGAAAAAACTTTATAAAATGTCTTTCAATAGATGAAAATGTGTTCCATGTTTTTCATTTGCTCAGTTCCAAAGGACTTGAAACAAGCATGTGTAAACTCATTAATTTGGAGAATTTGTTTTTGAAACTTGTTCCTGGAAATTTCTGAACCATTCTCAGGATAGCATGAAAGTTTTATATGATCCCAAAACATGTACACAATTCACTGTTTCAGGAATGAAATCTTCCATAGAATTTTAGAACATTCCATCCTGGCCTGAATAGAATAAAATATAGGATTAATTTGGTTGTTAATTTTAATTTAATTTTTAAATTTTTATTGTAAAGATCAATTGGGGGCGGGGGTTTGGATATTTTATTTAATGTCCCTTTTAATTTTGGTAATATGTGTTTTCTTTTATGTTCTACGCCACCCTGAGTCCTTGGGAGAAGGGCGGCATATAAACCCAATAAACTTAAACCTAAACCATCCCCAAACAGTGAGTTTTGCACATCCAAAACTTAAAGTAACCTAAAACCAAATAACCTCTGTAGGGAAAGGTGACGGGTCCCTATTCATATTGTATTAAAAGATATATTGAAATGTTGAGAGCATGTTATGGATATTCTCAGCGTTGGAAAGGTCCTTAAAAGTCTTCTAACCCAATCCCAACTCACAGCACACTGCCAGGCGTTGAGTCATTCATTCACAAGCGCAGGCACACATGCCCACCACTCATACAAATGGAGCTGCACACATACGCATATGCTCTTCATTCATGCAGACCCCTCTCCCCTCCCCCCACCGGTCTGCAAAGCCAGAAAGGTTGGGGAACTCTGTTCTAGTGCAACTGACTGCATAAGCAGGAAAGCCTATACCATTTCAAACAAATGGTTTGAAAATCTCTTCATAAAAACCTCCACTGTTGGAACACCTACAAGTTCTGGAGGCAAGTACTTCCGCTGGTTAATTGTTCTCATTGTCAGGAAATTTCTCCTTAGTTCTAGTTAGTTTTGTCCTTGATAAGTTTCCATCCATTGCTTCTTGTCCTGTCTTCATGTATTTGGAGAATAGGTTGACCACCTCTTCTTTGTAGCAGCCCCTCAAATATTGGAGTACTGCTCATTTTTCCTATCATTTTCTCCCATTAATTGGCCAATCATTTCTTTGACTTTCTTGTTGTTTTTTACATGTTGGAAGAAGCTTGGTTTTAACTTTTGTTGCAAGCCTGAGTTCATTTTGAGCCTTAGCTTTCTTGACTTCATCTTTGCAGGTAGAGGCTACTTGCTGATATTCTGCTTTATGTATGCGCCCCTCTTTTCACCTTTTATCCTTGTCCTTTTTTATCTTTTAGTTTATCCAAGTATTCTTCGTGGTTTCTTTTGAGATCTCCTATTTTTCTTCTTCATTTTTATACTGGGATTTTATAATTTCACATTACAAAGTTTCCCAGGTTTCATGGTTGTTTTTCCCTTGAAAATTCTTATCCATGTAATCCTTCTCAAACTCTCTCTAAGTTTATTGAAATCAGCTGTCTTGAAGTGCAAGGTCGTAGTTTGACTTTGTTCTATTGCTTGTCCTTGCACAACATTTAATTCCAAAATTGTATGACAATTTCTCTCCCCCTCCAAGGTACTTGTAATTTCAACACCTTCTACCATTTATTTTCTGTTAGTGAGAATTAAGTCCTGTATGGCTGACTTTCTAGTTCCGTCTTCTAGCTTGTGGGAGAGAAAATTGTCTGCTAGGTTTGTCAGAAATCTGTTTGATCTTTCACTAGATTCAGAGTTTGTATCCCACTTTATATCAGGGTAGTTAAACTTCCCTATTACTATTATAGTGTACATCCTATATATCTTAGTTGACTGACTAGCAAAATGTTTATCTATTTTTTCTGGTTGGTTGGCCTTTAGTATACATCTATAGCAAAGGCATTCTTTTTTTCCCTTTTATATTGACTTAAATGCATTCAAGATGCAGTTTTTAATCATTGTTCTGCTGTATTTCTGTAGAGATATAATTATTTCTTATATATAACACAACTCAACCTCCTCTTTTATTCAGTCTTTTTTAAAAACACAATTTCGATCCCTCTAGCTATATATTCCGTTCATGGGTTTCATCCTACCAAGTTTCTGTAATGGCAACAATATCACATTTACCTTAATGTACTTAGATTCATTTATTCCATATACTTTGTGCATTGATGTATAGGCATTTTAGTCCTTTTAGACTGACCTCATGTTTTGTGTCTGAGTTCTCCTTCATCCTTATCACCTGTTTGATTAGTGCACATAATAGGGCACACACTATCAAAAGCTTGATTTTTCCTAACTACAACCTTAATATTCTTAACTGCACACATCTATGTTAGAAACACTGACAATCCAATTAGTTTTAGATTGCTGGGGACAAACATGTTCTGTATCAATTATCTCCCTGTCCCTATCTGTCTCATAAAGGTCATGACAGATGCAGTCAGTCAAAAGACATCAAGATGGTAGACTCCAGATCCAGATGCAAAAGGTCATGGAAAAGGAAAGCTAATTTGGAAGGGGGAGGAAAGATGACTGGCTCAGAAATAGATTTAAAAGTCCAAGAATAGTAGGAAAGACAAAGAAAAGCTATCCACGAGCAAGCATTAAAAAGAAAAGGCATAAGCCAACATTGGCAGCTGAATCAGTATGAGGAAAAAAGCTGGAAAATTCACCATGAGTATCTGAGAAGCAATTGGAGATCTAGTCCATGAGCTAAAAGATAGTAGAAGAGAGAGAGGGGAGTTAAATGGATTGAAATCCTGACCCAAGCAACTATCTATAGAAAACAGAAACAGAGTACATTTTGGCAGTGTGGTAGAATTGTTAGTTTTCTGGACTACTCAGTCAATAGCTTAGAATTGTATCAGTCAGTATCCAGTTCATGGTTCTGTATGTTTTAAGTAAATGCTGTAAGATTTAAGTAAATGCTCCAAAAATATTCATAATTAGAGGCAGGAGGTGTATACACACACACACACACACACACACACTGTATATGTGTGTGTATGTGTACGTGTGTGTATGTATGTATGTATGTATGTATGTATGTATGTATGTATGTATGTATGTATGTATGTATGTATTCTTGGATACTCTAGGAGGGAAGGAAGTCTCCCTTAAGAGTTCCAACTGTTAGTCAAGGGTTGGGCAGCAGACAGATGAGAATACATTCTCTATTAATGGGAAGAGATTCCCTATGGGAAAGCCGCCATTGAATTTGGCTTCTGAGTAACAGCAGGTGCAACAAGAAAGTTACATCACATAGAGCAAAGAGATTGACTACGGAAAGGTATGGCTTGTTAAAATGTTGGAACTTCTGATTTTTACCTGATAGGAAATTGCGAACTTGACGAATGAACTGCTGAGTGCGCTGGATATCTGCCTCTATCTGTGTCCTGATGATGCTCATTTGATTTCTCAGTTTTTGGGCATTTGTCTGAATCTTGCTTGAAGCTATTTCAGCAGCTCTGATCTGTTAATAGGTGAGACAGATTCCATTTCCATATGGTATTTAATATAGCTCCTAAATGCTTCAACATTTTTCCACATGGGTTCACAAGCAGTAATATTCATCCCCCCACCCCACCCCCAGGTATTAATTACCCCATTCATTTCTAGTATTTCAGATGCAAGTTCTCGTTAAAAATAATGCATGGAAAATGTGAATGTTCAAATAGAAAATAAATGGCGTTGTTTAAGCACTTGTTATGTTTTTATAATGCATGTATTTTTCCTTGCTTCTTATATTTTTTGTTATGATTTTGAAAGCAATAAATATACATACATACATACATACATACATACATACATATATATATATATATATATATATATATACACACACACACACACACACACACACACACACATACATACGTACG